CTATATGCTGGATTATCATTTTATCACCAACTCTCTTTATGCCTGCCATCTGTCATCTTATTTGCATAAACCATCATTGCTATCATGAATAAAGACACTCCTATCAACTTAGGAAATCCCAACAACGTAGAGGATACATCCCAGGAACTGGGAATAAAAGCCAACCAAATTCTTTATTACAACCCGTCTTTGTCTTCCATTAGACTTCAAGTTCTTTGGGGCAGATGAGATGACCTCCTCATCTGTGCATACTTCACACCTTGCAGCCTAGCACTGTCCCAGGGAAATATTGATTAAATTGGTAAAGGTAAAGCCTTAGGTGCACCTGGGTGGCTCATTCAGTTAAACCTCTGACTCTTGGTTTCAGCTCAGGTCGTGGTCTCGCGGTTTGTGAGTTCAAGACCTGCATCAGTCTTCATGCTGACAGTGCAGAACTTGCTTGGGATTCTCTCTCCCCCTCTCTCTCTGCCCCTTCCCTGCTCACTCTCTCTGTCTCCAAATGAATAAATAAATAAATAAATAAATAAATAAACTTAAGCAAAAAAAAGGTAAATCCTTAGATAGTCATAGAGCTTTAGAGTAAAAGAGTTGGAAGAGACTTTGGAGATCATTTAGATATTCCAACACATTCATTTTATACATGAGAAAAATGAAGTACCAGAGGGTTCAGGTGATTACCCAAGAACCCACCGAGCAAACTGAAGACCTACTTTAGAGTTTTATCCTCCCAGACTGGACACCTGCTCCTACCACCCTACCCCTTCATTCATGAACACAAACCTCAGCATACACACTCTACTTTCTTCCTTACATCAAAGAAACCAATGATTTGCTATGAAAAAGGAAAAGGTATCAGCTATGAAGACAAGAAGTGAAACACGACTCTTGTGTAAACCTTTGATGTAATGTATCTAATTCCTGACTTTTCCATGCTTCTTCCCTGCACTGCCCTAAGAAGTAAAGTACATTCCATTTTCAATAGCTTGTTAGAACATATGGCTCCTAAGAAGGATGCAGTCTGTTGTTTTTGTTGTTCTGTTTAATCTCTGCCTATCGCCTATCCTTTAAATTAAAAAAAATACATAAACTCTAGGATCAAAGCTATAATACATTTTAATACTCTCATCTGGAAGCAAGACTTGAGTTATTTTTCCTAAACAAGCTTAATACACTCTAGCAGTTCTCCATTTACACACTTATCCAGCAGGGAACAGAACACACCTCTAGCATCTATCCTGGTACACTGAAGTGCTCAGAGAATGTTGGATGAATGAATAATAAAATCAGTACTTAGATAATCGCCAGCATATGAAGATTAATCTAGCCTGATGCTTCTTACTCTCCTTATCTTAAACTCTCTGCCTTCCTACCAGCACTGAGAGATCATAGTACTGCTTATCCATGTGGAAGGCCACCTTTCTATTTTACATACCTTTCCTGGTCGTCTTGTGAAGAAAATATATGCACCATGAAATATGGAAACTGTATTATTTATAGAGCTTTTAAACCTATTACTTTTTGTTTCTGAAGGTGAAACAAAAGCATGGAAGAGGCAAAGGCTGGTAGCATTGGATATACGCCAATGCTTATATACATGTGCTTCCCTAGATGTAAACCCTGAGTTCATGTTTGCTGAATCTGAATCCTAACGGAAGTCTCAAGATAACAGGCATCTCAATCTTCTATTGTCAATAATGAAACCATAATAGGGGAAAATGCATTTGTCTTTCAGTGAGTTCAACTCATGCCTACCCCAAACTGGCTCCTTACCGACCGGCAGGACAGCTCCTCTCTCCCCCTTTGCTGCTCTCAGTCTTTTTGAACACCTGTTTCACCTGCATTGTGCAAATCTGTGCATTTCTCTATGTGAAGCAGCAGCCCTGGTATTGTGAGGTCTACAGATACAGGTAAAGTTCAGTTTTTTTAGTTTTCCTTTCTGAAGGTGATACAACGAGTGCCCAATGTCACTGTACAACTTGGTTGAACATACACCCTAAATTTTTCATTAACAACAGTTGGGTCTCCGGGGTTCTATGCTACCAGTGTCAGGATAGAACACCAAACACAGTTAATAGGTGGAGTCCTGGGGTGAGCCATGTCATGGGGGGCGGGGAAGATCTTCACATTGGTTGTTAATGTGTAGATTAAATGCGTTTACCAAATGAATGCATTCATTCCCTGGTGGTTTGGATATCATATAGACCAGAGGTCAGCAAACATTTCTTACATAGGGCTAGACAATAGATACTTTAGGCTCTGTGGACTAGACAGTGTCCGTTGCAATTACTCAGTACTACTGTTGTAGTGAAAAGCAGACATAGACAATCAATAAAAAGTAGGTGTGACTGTGTTCCAATAAAACTTTATTTACAAAAAGAGGTGTTGAGTTGGATTTGGCCTATGGACTTAGTCAGCTGGCCCTGATTTACAAGAGAGATTGGCTTAAATTAGCTTGAGTTTTTCAAAAGAATGTTAAAATTAAAATGTTTGTTGATGGTATCATTGTTCTCATTGCTTTGAACACTAGACTCGGGGCAAATCTTTACCACCCCGGGTTTTAATTTCTGTAAGGATAAATTAAGGGTAAAATGTGGGGAACTATACCATAGGTATTCAAACTATTGTCTTCTGAAAAGGCCTGCCTGACCTCCAAAAGGAAAGGCAGAAAAGGGGCTGCTCTTTTTGAGGTAAGGCTTGGACAAACTCCCCTTCACAGACTCCATGATGCTCCTGAGGCACCGGAGCCCCAGCAACCAGTGAAAGATTGAAAACTACTGAATGATGTCTAAGATTGCCATTTATACCCTAAATTCAGCAATTCAAGTATGATTGCTTGGAGTAGAGAATTCATTTTTGTCTCAAAACCAGATTTTTCTCCTCATCGGAAGGCATATATTCAGATAAGTAAAATTCTGAATCTGGGAGACAAGCAGGGATAGCTAAATGGATGATGGCTAGGTAGTCCTGCCTTTATCACCAACCATGCAACACTAGACCTTAACTCTCTTATCTGCAATGTAAGTATAACAGATTAAATATATTTTTGTGTTAAACTCTATAATTCAGGCCTTCTGGTCTATCTGTCCCCTTTGTGCAAAAACATTTTGTGACTACTGATTATTTGTTTCATTAATGTACTCAGCAAACATTAATTGAACATCTACCATATGCCAAACACATTGCGGGACCCTAGGGAACCAAAGATATTAAGACTTAAGTCTATTTATTGGGAACTAATTTCATCTATAAACAGTTACAAGAGTAAAAAGTTTCAAGCTGAACAAGAAAGCTGATACAAACTAATTTGTGAGTTTGGAGATTAAAAAAAATAAACATTGCAAATAGATCAATCTGGACTGGGAAGGCTCATCTTTTAAACAAATGTTTTTCTGAGCAACTATTCTGTGGCATTTCTGTGCTAGGTGTTAAGGCATTGTAAATTTGGGTAAAATCACAACAAAGTAAACCCAAAAGAGAAATTCCATATTCAAGGAACTCTCATCCCAGGGGTGGAAAATAAAAACATGTGAATGAATAATTGCAGAACAATGAGCTAAATACAGCACTAGAAGCAAGAACAGAGAGCAGTAGGCAAACTTTCCAGTGAACTAAAGACAACAGAGGGATGGAGACGGAATAGAGTATTCGACCCAGGCGTGTGCAAACTGTAGTACTTGGGGATCAGAAAATTTTCCTATGTGTTTGGAGTATAAGGAGCAGAGGAGGGCTGGCAAAAGATAAGGGCAGGAAGCCAGATTCGAAGATTTCTGGGCTTGCCTGAGAAGTTGGCGTTTAATTTATTAGCAAAATAGAGCCACTGACACTCAGAAACAGGAGAGGGTCATTCTTGGATCCTCAGGAAGAGAGTGATATGGAGCAGGCAGATTCATACTCAGGACCTAAGGTAGTAGGCTTATATTAGTCCTCAGAAGAGAAAACAACACATACATTCTCTCTCTCTCTCTCTCTCACACACACACACGCACATGTGCCCACCACAACCCTCCCCCAACATGCACGAATGCACGCACATGGGCAGCCATGGTTCATTTGTTCTGAACTGAAAGGAATTTCATAGAAAATTATCATCCAAGCCCTTTCAACACAAATCACTTGTTCTAAATGGAATGATAGACAAAGAATAATTTTGACTTGTTCTAAATGTTATTTCTGCTTTGTCATTGCAAGAGGTGAACAAAATATGTCTTGGTAGTTACTGGCTGGGACAACCTGAAAGCTGAGACCCCATGGCAGTGATAAACTTTTTTTGTTTTCCCGCCACCTGGATAAAAGTAGAATAGAAAACCCCATAAATGTTGGCGATTCTCTTGTAGTAAGTGCTTTCTGGACAACCAAAGTAATTTCTCAATGAATATGAGTTTGGAGAGAAATGGGACTGAAAATGCAACGCTGATTCCTGGTTCAGTTTTAAGTTTTGAGAGTACCACACTGTGGCCCCTCACCACCATCAACTGTATCACAGCAGCGTTTATCTTCTCTAAGGGAAAGCCATTTCGAAAACCCATCTACACAAACTGTGAGTATATGAAGTTTAATTTTCCTTCCATCTCCCCACCCTCCCCAGAGTTGCAGTTCAGTGGTAAAGTGATGGCTGAACTCTGGAATGAAATATCTACAAATGGTTGTATAATGCTTTTGTGACTTGCTCTCATTCTTACAAGCTCTCCCTCTAGTTATCCACCATTTTTTTTTGTTATTT